TTAGCAAAGAACAAGGCACCAGGAATTGATGGAATAAAAATTGGAATTTTTCAAGAAAGTGAGGCAGCACAGGAGGCACTCACTCATCTATACCAAGAAATTTAGAAGATAACTATCTGGCCGACTGATTGGAAGACATCCATATTTGTGTGCATTCCAAAGGGAGGTGACCCAACGGAATGTGGAAATCATTGGACAATCTCTTTGATATCCATGCGAGTAAAGTTTTGGTAAAGGTAATTAATACAGAAATGGCTTCAATCATTGACAGAGAACTTCCAGAGGTTCAAGCTGCATTCAGAAGAGGCCGTGGAATGAGGGATATCATTGCTGATGTTGGCTGAAAGCAGAGAATATCAAAAAGATGTTTACCTGTGCTTTATTGACTATGCAAAGGCTTTCGATTGTGTGAGTCATGACAAACTATGGACAACATTGCAAAGTATGAGTATTCTGGAATATTTAATTGTGCTCATGAAGAATCTGTACCTGGACCAAGAAGCAGTTGTTCGAACAGAACATAGGAACACTGAATGGTTTAAAATTAAGAAAAGTGTGCGGCAAGGATGTATTCTTTCACCATATTAATTCAACCTGTATGCTGAGCAAATCATCCAAGAAGCTGGGTTCTATGAAGAAAAACATGACATCAGGATTGGAGGAAGACTCATTAACAACCTGCAATATGCAGATAATACAACCTTGCTTGCTGAAAGTGAAGAGGACTTAAAATATTTACTGATGAAGATGAAAGAGCACAGCCTTCTGTATGGATTACATCTCAATGTAAAGACAACAAAAATCCTCACCACTGGACCAATAAACATTCTTATCAACGGAGAAAAGATTGAAGTTGTCAAGGACTTCATGCTTCTTGGATCAACTGTCAACACTCATGGAAGCAGCAGTCAAGAAATCAAAGGACATTAGGCAAAGCTGCTGCACAAGACCTTTATAAAGTGTTGAAGAGCAAAGATGTCAGCTTGAGGAGTAAGGTGCACCTGACCCAAACCATGGTATTTTCAATAACCTCATATGTACGCAAAAGCTGAACAGTGAATAAGGAAGGCCGGAGAAGAATTGATGCTTTTGAGTTATGGTGTTGGAGGAGAATCTTGAAAGTGCCAAGGGCTACCAAAATAACAAATAGATCCATTTTGGAAGAGATGCAGCCAGGGAGCTCCTTGGAGGCCAAGATGGCCAAACTTCGTCTCTCATACTTTGGAAATACTGTCAGGAGGTACCAGTCACTGGAGAAGGCTGTCATGTTTGGTAGGGTGGAGGGTCAGAGAAAAAGAAGAAGACCTCCAATTAAATGGATTGGCCAAGTGGTAGCATCGATGGACTCAAGCATAGCAACAGTAGTGAGGTTGGCCCAGGATTGGGCAGTGTTTCGTTCTGCTGTGCATAAGGTCACTATGGGTCAGTACCAACTCAATAGCACCTAACAACAACAACAACAACAACATCATCATCATTAATAACAAGAATGTATACATAGTTATGTAAGCTGAGCAGAAGTGGGAAGGTATATAGAATTGACAGCTGATGTTCCTACACAAACACACACACACACACACACACACACACACAGATATATGGAATCCTGGTAAGGCGCTATGAGTTAACGCACTGGACTTCAAGGTCGGTCATTCAAGTTCACCAGCTGCTCATCAGAAACCCTATACAGGGTTGTTATGGGTCGGAACTGATTTGACAGTGCTTACCACCACCAACATAAGCATACATACACACACATACACGTATATATACACACCCATGTTAGAGTTCTAGTGTGGCGCTATAGGATCAGCACTGGACTGCTAACCATAAGGTTGGCAGTTCAAACCCACCAGCTGCTCCTTGCAAACCCTATACAGGGTTGCTTGAGTCAGAACCTACTTGACTACATGACAGTACTTAACAACAACATATATACATGTTGCAAAAATACCCATGTATATAGTAGGGTGCACAGGGTAACGGTCATGACAATTTCTTAGTAATAATAAAACACCTCCTAGAATTGAGATACTGGCCTTGAGGAATAGGGACCATAGTCTCCAGCGTCCTCTAGGTCAATTGGTATAATATACTACATAAAGGCAATGGTTGACATCCTACTTTAGTGAACAATGACTAGGATCTTAAAAGCTCGCAAGTGGCCATCTAACTTACAGCTGGTGGTGGTGGTTATGTGCAGTGAAGTCGGTTCTGACTCATAAAACCCTGTATAGGGTTTCTGAGGCTGCAAATCTTTACAGTAGCAGAAAGCCTCATCTGTCTCCCATGGAACCACTGGTAGTTTTGAACTGTTGATCATGAGATTAGCAGTCCAACTTGTCACCATTATGTTGCCAGAGCTCCGTACCTTACAACTAGTGTTTCTTTTTTTTTCTGGAGCAAAGAGAGTGAAGAAAACCAAAGACTCAAGGAAGCAATTAGTCCACAAGACTAATTAATACACCACATGAACCACATCCTCTACTTGTCCTAGAACAGAAGAATTAGATGGTGTCTGGCTACCACTACCTGCTGCTCTGATGAGAATCACAATAGAAGGCATAGATAGAGGGAGAGAAAAAGGTAGAACAAAATTCAAATTCATTTTTTTAAAAAAAGAAACATTAAACTTGTTAGTCTGACATGAATTTGTGAAACCCTTCAGACTATGGCCCTTAGATACTCTTTTAATTTAGAAGGAAAAGCCACACCAGAAAATCACCTTTCAGGCACACATTGTTGTTGCTGTTGTTGTTAAGTGCCGCTGAATTGGTTCCGACCCACAGTAACTCTGTATAGGGTTTCTGAGGAGCAGCTGGTGAGTTTGAATTGTCAACCTTGTGGTTTAAACCGACTTTGCAGTTCAGTGCACAGGCCTATATAGTGAACATGCTCAGAAACAAATCAACTATGTGAGACCAAAAGGACAGAGTTTGTCAAAGGTAAAATTAAGAAGACAGAAATGGGCAGAAAACACTGGACAAATGGAAATGGGGAACTCAAAGTGAAAATGGGGAGTATGCTGACCTATCACCATCATAGAGATAGCAACCAATGTCATGAAACAATCTGTGTATAAATTGTGGGTGGGGAAACAGATTTGTTTTGTAAGCTTTATATTAAAAAAAAAAAAAAAAGGCAGAAAAGTCTAGCCAAGACCACCCTGTTCCAAACTAATGGTAAAGCATGTCTTATTAGAAGTTATCTGTCTTAGAAGCATGCTATTTGGTAATCTACTTGGTAGGTTACCTACATGGTAAAGCATGTCTTAGAAGAAGTTACTTGAAGCTTATTCGAAAATACCCTCCCCAACTATTATACCTGAAATTCTGTCATTAAAATGCCTTTCCAGTTTGCTTTTGTTTGTTTTTTCTTAAAAGAAAGAAAACCCACCCTGCCGCACATGGGATCGCGCCATGAGTCAGAATCTACTTGATGGTAACTTGCTGGCTATGGAAACACTAGAATTAACAATCAGGACAAAAAGTTAGAGTTCATTAATATATGTAAATGTAATCTAAATCTGTTGTTGATTACAAAATAAATGTCCTATGCATGACTGTATTTGAATAATGTTATATTAAAACTCACAACTTGAATATGAAATCTGTGCTTTTAAAAGCAGTATAATATATGAAATGTTGTCAGAAAATACATTTAAGATGGTTCAAGCTCATTTTACTTTGCCAGTCTTACTCTCCTGTGGGTCCTATACAGAGTGGAAAATGTTATTAGCTGTGTACTACACTCAGTTGACTAAAAGGTTCCTACTGCTTTCGTCAACTGCTATGGTTCATTTTAATGACAGCCTCCATCCATCTTCCTGGCAAGTAGCAAAGCCTGCCATTTATGTGATGTGCCTGCACTAGCCCAGAATAAGCAGCACCTGTCTTGGATGCTTAATTAAACACTTCAATTCTAGAAAGACCTTTCTCCTGTAGGTGAAATGACTATGCAAGGAAGGTGTTATGTAAATTTTGCTACTACATCAAAGACATGATTCAATGATAGCTGTCTTCATTAGGTATTTGGAAAATTGTACTCATTTATCACTATGTTTATGAATATCTGTAGAGAAAGCTGGCACTTCATAGCATCATAATCAGAAAGAAGTAAGGACTCTTAATTTTTATGAAGGGTTATTCAGTTTTTCAGAATTCAGAATTTCTATGTACAAAGTAAAAATATTATTTATATATAATTGCTTATTATTCTCATAACTATGCTCTCTATATTATTTTTGAAGCATGATTTTATTTCAGTGGGAGGTATATGTATCTATGCATTTGCTTTTAAATTCCTCAGGGTAATTTTGAACTCTACTCAGACTAAAGATGCTGATATAGTTACTCAAGATAACCCTGATCTGAAAATGGAAAAAAATTAAACTATTTTTGCTAACATTACCAATAATTGTGACAAATGACATATTTCATTTATTTGCTTCTTCCTTCCTATCTCTGGTAAGGTAGTGGTTACAAATTGGGCTGTGAACCTCAAGGTCAGCAGTTCGAAACTACCAGCTGTTCTGCAGGAGAAAGATGAAGCTTTCTGCTCTCGTAAGACTTACAGCCTCGGAAGCCCTGTACAGGGTCGCTATGAGTTGGAACCAACTCCACAGCACACAGCCACCACCATTAACTATAAATAAGAACATCTACTTTGCCTACTTCACAGGATAGTTGTGAGAACACAATGTGGTGGTTTGAAAACGTGTTTTATAAAGTACTGTACTACTTCAGACTGGAATTGCTGAATATCCAAAATACACTTTTAATTTGTTTGACTTGTTTAACCACTTCTTAATCAAATGCCTACATTCAGCATGAATACTAAGTCAAGATCTTATTTATTAAATAAAAATAAATGCACCCATTTTAAAAGCTAGGGAATGATCTTTCTGTGATCTGCAACTTAAAATTGAAGTTCTGGTAGACAGCAGTAACTGTCCTAAGGTTCAGTCATAACCCAGGTAGACATACAACATAAATTCATACCTGTCTTCCTTTATTCTTGCCAGCAAGGGCTCCAGCCATCCCGAAGTACATTCACAGTGTGCATCAAGAAAAGTTATGACCTGCCCTTTTGAAGCAGCTGCTCCTCGAAGGCGGGCACGTATTAACCCAGAGCGCTCTTCCATCCTAATGATTTTTACTGGCACTTCTAAATTTTTCACATAATTCTCTAATGTCAACTTGAGGAAATCTGTAACATACAATCAGAATGTACACAAAAATTTTGAAACCATTTTAAGACACAACAGAGTCACTGTCCAACTGGAAATAGTGGCCAACTTCCTCCTACCAAATTGTTGTTTTGTTTTTGCGTTAGATAAAATAGATACAGAGGTTTCATCAGGCAATCAACATACCCTATCTGTTAATTGGCTGGCAAATATAAAGCTAAAATTTGAAGTTAATACGATGCCAGTCTCTAATTTGCAAACAGGGCCACCTTGGCAAATGCAGTCTCCTTGATTATAAGTAATTTGCTTTTGCCTGAATGAAAAGGCAAAAAAACGACAAGTATCTACACAGTCATAGAAATGCTCAATAATGTGGGTACATGAGTTGGGTGGATTAAAAACGGAACCTTTCTGAAAGGTATTTTTGCTGATTTCTTAGATTAGGAAGAGCCAAGTGGAGTCATGAGAGAAAATGAAACAAATAATTACTTGTTCCTAGAGTTGACAATAATGAAGTATTTGTTGTTTTTGTTTTAAAGTGCATCAATTCAGTTCCAACTCATAGTGACCTGTATAGGATTTTCAAGGAGCAGTTGGTGAGTCTGTACTACTAACTTTGCAGTTCACACCGACTTTGTAGTCCAGTGCTTATCCTACAGCACCACAATTGACCTAGTATGTTGACTAAAATTTGTTTAAGTTGTTGGTAACTCACAAATACAAATCATTCATCAGCTATATTTTGATTATCATCAAACATCCTAATTCAGAGCTATATAAGAAAAATCCTTATACCTCTTTCACTGGCATCGTCTACCAAGATGACCTCAGAGAGTAGATAGTGTGGGGACCGGTTGATGACACTGGAAACAGTTCTAAGAAGGGTGCTCCAAGCTTCATTATGAAACACAATGACTACACTTGCATTTGGAAGTTCCTCAGGGTAGACCTTTGTCTTGCATCTGGAAAAGAGACAGGCGGGGCAGATCAATAAACTCCCTTTCAATGATAGCATGACTTTAATCTTGAAAACTCATTAGCATGGGAAGAATTTTATAAAAATCTAAGCTTATTTTCTTTTTCAAAAATGCTGAGAGTAAGTAAGCACTTGGTCTTTTGTAAGTTAAAAATACATAATTACTATTTTTTTTAAAAAATTTAATTCCTGCAGGGAACAAAGTGACATGATTTCCACAAGTCAAAGAAACCTAAAATAACATTCTGATCCAGTTAATAGATAACCAGCTACAACCAGGACAGATGAATTCATTTAGTGGATATAATGCTATTTTTGTTTAGAAAATTTTAAAAAAAAGATGGTATAACTTAAAAGTTTTAAGAATATAAAGAGACATACGTTCACAGGGTTTTGAAGCATGTAAAACTAAAGATCGTCTTTCTATTCTAAATTCTAGACATGTATGCTTTCCATTTGTTTAGAGAATGCTATAAACCTTGTTTAATTTGAAGGAAGGGTTTAAAGGCCAAGATGAATTTTGCAGATTTCCAAATAATAGAGTATTAGCTTTCTAGCATTTCTATAATAAAGTAGCACAAACTGGGTGGTTTAAAACAATAAAAATGTATTCTCTCCTATTTCTGAAGGTTGAAAGTCTGAAATCAAGATGTTTTCAGGGACATGCTCTCTCTGAAGACTCTAGAGACAAATCTCTCCTTGTCTTTCAGCTTCCGGTGGTTCCTGGCAGTACTCAGCATTCCTTGCCTTGCAGTTCCAGCACTGATTTCTGCCTGCATCTTTACATAGCTGCTTTCCTATACGTACTTCTGTGGCCTAATTTCCCTCCTCTTATTAGGACACTAGCCAGTGGACAGGATACCCTGCTGGCATAGTGGTTGAGTGGTGAGCTTCTAATAAAATGGTCAGCAATTCATACTCACCAGCCATATGTGGTAATATTCTTCTATAAAAATTGAAAACACTATGGGAATAGCTCTCTTCTTTACAAATTGTTTTGTACCATTGGTTTGTTCTGATTCATAGTGCATTAACCCACAGTGACACACCAGGGCATCTGATGATTTACTTATTACTACCAAGTAGATTCTGACTCATAGTGACTCAGTGGGGTGCTGTATGATAAGCACTAGACCACTAACAAATGCGAACGACAAGGCCAGTGGTTCAAACTCACCAGTTGCTCCTCAAAAACGCTCTACGGATTACTATGAGTCAGAACTGAGTCCACTGCACTTACCAACAGCAATAATCAAGTACAGAGGATCCTGCTCTATATACCATGGCAGAATACGCACTTGACTATGAACCACATGTCAGTGGTGCACACCTTTCATCCGCTCCTTGGATTTCTGTGAGTCATAACTGACTCCACAACACTTAACAGCAACAACCAAATATAACTTCATTTTAACTTGATCACATCTGCCAACAGGCTATTTCCAAATAAGGGCATATTCACACTTTCAGTATTGACATGAATTCTGACCGGACTTTATATAATCCAATACAGCATTTTATGGTCAAAACTAGAAAAAAGAGCTTAGGCATGGCAATCACCTGGGGATTTACTAAAATTCAAATTTGATTCAGTAGGTTAGGGTGATTCTGGATTTCTCAAATTTCCCAGGTGATGCATATGTTGATGATCTCTGGAACACACTGACTGGGAAGGGGTAACATCATAATTGTCTTCACTGTTAGAAATTAATGCTTTGAGAAAAACTATTAACTTTGCTTATGAATCCATTGAAGCCAATATTACACTAATTAAGCAATCAAAAAATGTACATTTGGGTTAAGTAAAATGTGTACTTCTCTAAAGGATCATAATAATCTTAACATGCTTCAATTTGTTAATACATAAATACTTCAGTAATGTAATTTTAAATAATCCTGAAATATCACCAGATACCTGGAGCAGAAATAGATGTTTATGCAGCTTAAGTTACATTTTAATGTAAAATTCACTGAACAGACACAGAATTAAAACAATTCCATAAAATAAAACTATCTAGTCACTCATGGCTATAATACAAGCTATCTAGCCAACTGATTGGAAGGATCTGTATTTTTGCCCATTCCAAAGAAAGGTGACCTAACGGGATGTGGAAATCAGTGGACAATATCTTTGATATTCCATATGAGTAAAGTGTTATTAAAGGTAATACAGAAATGGCTACAAGCATACATTGACAGAGAACTTCCAGGGATTCAAGCCGGATTCAGAAGAGGCCGTGGAATGAGGGATATCATTGCTGATGTCCGGTGGATCTTGGCTGAAAGCAGAGAATATCAGAAAGATTTTTAACTGTGCTTTACTGACTATACAAAGGCCTTCGATTATGTGGATCATGACAAGCTACGGACAACATTGTGAAGTATGAGTATTCAGGAACACTTAATTATGCTCATGAGGAACCTGTACCATAGACCAAGAGGTAGTTGTTTGAACAGAACATGAAAACACTGAATGGTTTAAAATTAGGAAAGGTGTGCGACAAGGTTGTATTCTTTTACCATCCTTATTCAACCTGTGTGCTGAGCAAATGATCTGAGAAGCTGTATTATATGAAAACATGGCATCAGGATTGGAGGAAGACTCATTAACAACCTGCAATATGCAGATGATATAACTTTGCTTGCTAAAAGTGAAGAGGACTTAAAATACTTACTGATGAAGATCAAAGACCATAGTCTTCAGTATGGATTGCATATCAGTGCAAAGAAATAAAAAATGCTCATCACTGGAACAGTAAACAACATTCTTATCAATGGAAAAAAGATTGTCAAATACTTCATTTTTCCTGGGTCAACCATCAACACTAGTTGAAGCAGCAGCCAGGAAATCAAACAACGATTTGCATTAGGCACATCTCTTGCACAAGACCTTTTTTAAAATGTTGAAGAGCAAAGATGTCAGCCTGAGGACTAAGGTAGGCCTGACCTAAGCCATGATATTTCCAATAACCTCATATGCAAGTGAAAGTTAGACAGTGAATAAGGAAGATCCTAAAAGAATCGATACATTTGAGTTATGGTATTGAAGGAGAATATTGCAAGTACCCTGGTCTGCCAAAAGAACAAACAGATCTGTGTAGGAAAAAGTACAGCCAGAGTGCTTGAGGGCCAGGATGGCCGGACTTTGTCTTTCATACTTCGGACATACTGTCAGGAGGTACCTGTCACTAGAGAGGGATATCACATTTAGTAAGGTCAGATAAAAAGAGGTAGACCCCCAACAAGATGGATTGGCAAAGTGGCAGCATCAACGGGCTCAAGCATGGCAACAATTGTGAGGTTAGTCCAAGACTGGGCAGTGTTTCATTCTGTTGTGCATAGGGTTGGTAATAGTTGGTACTGACTCAATGGCACCTAACAACAACAGTCACTTATGAACCACCTAAAACATGACACAATACAGCATCATGAAAATGAGTTTTCCTTTACTAATGAGTGATGTGGTGCTGTGGGTTAATGAGCCTGACTGCAAAGCCATTTGAACTGCAAAATCAGTGGTTCAAGCTCACCAGTTGCTCCTCGGAAACCCTATACAGGGTCGCTATAGGTCAGAACCGACTTGACAGCACTTAACAACAACAACAACGAGTGAAAAAAAATACAGTAAAATGTAAACTATGAAGGCATAAAACAAATACTGATTGTGTGCTTTTTTGTGATCTCAAAAATAATTTAAAACAATCTAAATATTACCTGTTCAATGAAGTGTTCTGTAATATATTCAGATAAGAATGTATACAAAACTCAATTATACTATTTTGGTCAGCCTATCAAGTCAGCAGTTCAAGCTCACCAGCCACTCCTCGGAAACCCTATACAGGGTTGCTATGGGTCAGAAACAACTCAATGGCACTTAACAACAGCAACACAAAAACCGAGTCCTGTTGTGGGACTGTGGCTTAATGTGCTGGGCAGCAAAGTCAGTTTGAAACACAAGGCTGGTAGTTCAAATTCACCAGTCGCTCCTCTGAAACTCTATACAGGGTCACTATGTGTTGGAACCAACTTGACAGCACTTAACAACAACAACCTACAATTTATTCAACAAAAATTTAGGAAGCACCTAAAATATGCTTGTACTGTGCCTATTATAAAACTAAAATACAAGAAAAAAGAAAATTTTAATTCAGTCATTTCTTCTTCCAGCAAGAATCAAACATTTTCAATGTGCTTTATCATTGTGCTTACAACTCCAGAACATTCATCATTAACTGAAAGTGGAAAGTCACCTTTCTATGTCAGAAAGTTTCTCTCTACCACTTTCCTCAACTCTCCCTTAATCTGTCCCAACATAGAAGCACATCACCTTCATGACTAATTGTGACTTTCACAACTGTAAAGGTAGGTGTTTTGTCACATAAGAGGGGGGAGGAGCTAATCTTACATTCCAGTAACAGAGGACCATAGGGCCATGAAGCAAGAAGAACATCCGTGGGACCCTATGCAGAGAAGCAGTAACACCAGTGCTGGAGACAGAGATGAGGACATGGAAAGATAGGGCAGATGAAGACTCTAGACTCATGGAAAGAGAAAGGCTGTGTGTTGGTGGCCAGGAGGCAGGCTTACAAAATGTTCCCTTTGGCTGTTTAAATTATTATATATGCCTTTATATTTTTGTGTACATCTCCCTGATACCAAAAAAAAACAAAAACAAAAACAAAAAAAAACCTAGAAGGAATAGAAGCAAACACTGTGGAATGATGATGCATGGAGGAGATTGTAATCATTGCAATGAAACGGTGAGTATAAAACTGATGTTCTCCCATGTAAACTATCACTCAATTCACAATAAAAACTTGAAGAAGAAAAAAAAAATCACTTTCAGGTTGTTCAGCATGTTAGAAATCATCATTGTCATCGTCACCTGGGTAAGGAAGATAGAGACAGTGAAGAAACAAAGCTGGATAAACAGTTTGAAAGCAGCTAACCGTCAACAACTACTAGTTTAACACAAGGATTACTGAG